CGTAAAATATACGACAGGTCTGGACCACTCGTAAATTTTGTTCGTATCTGAAAAAAATCGTAGAATACGAAACATTGGTGAATGCCACAAATTCTCCTAAATCACTCGTACGCACAATTTAAGAACAAATCTGTGCGTACGAACGGTTCTTGCATGAGGCCCATTGTGAGAAATGGAAGACTACAGGCACAGTTCAAGTGTAGGCTCCAAGTGGCAGACAAAGAAAAATCTGGAATAAAGAGAAGTGAAGGATGTTGAGAACAGTTCGAGTCAATCCACAGACCAGCACCAAAGACCTACAACATCATCTTGCTGCTGATGGAGTCACTGTGCATCGTTCAACTATTCGGCACACTTTACACAAGGAGATGCTGTATGGGAGAGTGATGCAGAGGTAGCCTTTTCTCCACCCACATTACAAACAGAGCTGCTTGAGGTATGCTAAAGCACATCTGGACAAGCCAGCTTAATTTTGAAATAAGGTGCTGTGGACTGATGAAACTAAAAAAAGAGTTATTTGGGCATAACAAGGACCGTTATGCATGGAGGAAAAAGAACACAGCACTCCAAGAAAAACACCTACTACCTACAGTAAAATGTGGAGGTGGTTCCATCATGCTGTTGGCCAGTACAGGAATTGGGAATCTTGTTAAAGTTGAGGGACACATGGATTCCAACCAATATCAGCAGATTCTGGAGACCAATGTCCAGGAATCAGTGACAAAGCTGAAGCTGCGCCGGGGCTGCATCTTCCAACAAGACAACCACCATAAACACTGCTCAAAATCTACTAAGGCATTCATGCAGAGGAACAAGTACAACGTTCTGGAATGGCCATCTCAGTCCCCAGARCTMAATATTATTGAAAATCTGTGGTGTCACTTAAAGAGAGCTGTCCATTCTCAGAAACTATCAAACCTAAATGAACTAGAGATGTTTTGTAAAGAATAATGGTCTAAAATACCTTCAGCCACAATCCAGACTCCCATTAGAAGCTATAGGAAGTGTTTAAAGGCTGTTATTCCTGTGAAAGAAGGATCTACTAAATATTGAGGTAAGGTTTTTTTTATGGTGCCCAAATTTATGCACCTGCGTTTAAACAATTATTGCACACTTTCTGTAAATCATATAAACTTCATTTCACTTCTCAAATATCACTGTGTTTGTCCCCTGTATGATATATTTAACTGATTTTTTTTAAATCCAAACAATCAATTTATAAAGGTAAATCAGGAAAATTAACAAGGGTGCCCAAACTTTTTCATATGACTGTATAAATAATGGTATTTGCATTTGATTGGGTATTAATATTTGAGCATTTAGTAGGTCATAAAGTGTGAACAAAATCAGTCTAAGGATAAAGCCTTGTGGGACTCCAACAGGAAGGTTTGGTCCCTTCAATACATTCTTGTTTTCTGTTTAATAGTTATACTTAACTATTAAACAAGGTAATAACAGGGTAAAAAAGTGATCCACTCTGAAAAACATTTACTCACAGAGAACCTGCTCCAACACCCCCTGCTGAATTTWTTACCTCTGTGAAGGTGGTCTGGGCCATTGAGTGCCACCTGGATCGCGGTTTGTGCATCTGTGTTTTGTGTCTTCAGCATCTCTATRGTTTCTCTCAGCTCAGCCAATTCTGACTCCTGAAATGAAGGAACAAAAGAGAACAGGATGTGCCTTTTTTAGCTGTGTACACAAATAAATGGGTTGGTTTCAAAGTTTGGACTTTCCAGGAAACACATTTTACTGTAGCTGACATAAAACAAACGTACAAAAACTGATGAGCAGATTGTTGAAACAAAGACTTGGAGTCAATACACAAACTACTTAAAATTCTTCAACTTGGCATTAATGCGACTTTCAATAAAATAAAAAATAAAGAACAGTGTGGGCGAGTATTTAAAACAAAATTAGAATAGTTATACACTAGATCTGTTTTTCAGTCAGCACCACCTGCTCGGAGCTTTCCTCTTTGTTGAACTGACTCGATAAGATAGAGGTAGTCTCCTATTCTCCCTCCCTCCAAACCCCACTGAGAGCTGCAGATAGGGTTTCTGCTTTAATTAAAAGTTGGAATGGCCTTATTTGACAAAGACCTCCCACTAGTCTGTGTTAACTTATAGAGGATTAAAAAGCTGCCAGGTCTTCTCAACCTTCTATGCGCAGGGTATGTGTGTGAACACAGGGACGCATTCATAATTTGAGATAGGGTACTATCTTTGAAGATATTGGTGCCGCTGTGTGATCAATCCCAGTCGAGCTGTTCGGAACCCCCAGAGAGGAGAAAAGGCTGAGTTTTATAAGAGAAAACACTCCTTTTGGAAGTGTTTTTGAGGTCTCACATTCATAGAATATGCTGAAATCTCTCTACATTGGTTCTTTAACTTGCCTATTTGGGAAGAATTTTGCCATTCAAGCATCTTATTCTATTTCGGGTAAAGTTGTAGAACAAAACATAGAGAGAAACCATTATCAGCACCAGCTTATGAGAGATTTGGCTGGCGACCTCCATGATCTTTTCTACTGCACTATTTTGGAATCACACTGCTTGCTAGTTTTTAATCAATTCTCCTCTTTGTGATGCAGTTTCCATAGAGTTCATATGTCATTTACTTCAAACCCTTGTACCTTTTGCTCAGCTGTCATGGTGAGGCTCTGCAGACGGCAAGTCATATTACTGAGGCTCTTCTCGAAGGCTGCTACCAGGTGAGCCTGTAGACACATGGAGACAGGAAAACTGAGTTTTTAATCTTCTGTCTGAAGTATGGACAGAGAAGATAGAAGGCTTGGATGGATTAAGACCAACATTAAACAGTGGATAAACTTAGTGGATAAACTTAAAGACCCTAAAGACCCTCAGGAGGGAGAGTGATTTACATTCCGTTGTGTGCAAAGATTAAACGGATGTTTAAAAATCTGACAGCTATCTTCTGATTGTACCTCCTGCATATCATATAATCTAAACTATCTCTGTACTAAAGCTAACCCTTGTCCAATTTTGTCTGTATTCAGCTCAGCTGGGTTCAACACTTGACTATCAAAATGCACATATGATCACTTTGGGGCAGCTGTTTCACAGTGCAATCGTCCAAAGAGAGATTTGAAGGTTTATTTCCTAGCAATATGCAGTTACATGTCGAAGTGCTCTTAGGTCAAACCCTGCATTGCTTACGATGTGCCATACTGGTACAGAAATGCAAACAAAAGCATTGATTAGTCTCTATAGAATGATTTATTCAGATTTGTTTTGTAGAGATGAAGTGTATGAAAGTGTATGGATGAGTAAGGGCACAGATTGTATTTTAAAGCACTTTGTGTACTTTTGTTGGCGAGAAAAGATGCTTATGCAGTCCTTTTACTTCTTGTGCAAACTACATACTTAGAAAGTCTTTCAGATGGGAAGTGAAATGTCTTCAGAACACAAGCCAAAAGAAAAAGTCCAGTTGCCAAGGTGGGTGTCAGATGACCAACAGTCTGAGAGCTCTGCTTGTCTGCTGAGAATCCCTCTATGAACTGATAATAGGATAAATAGCATAAAAATGCAAAAACTCTAACTTTCAGAAGAGCATGTTAACACAAAGTTTATTTAAAATGCAAATTTGTATGACCGCTGTGTCTTAGTGCAGAAGAGCAATCATCATAGATTTGACACTAAAGACATCTTTGTGGACTAATATTATTAATAAACCAATGAGAAAGTACAGAGAAGAAGCTGTACCACACACATCACCTGCCTCCTGAATCCCTCTGTAATGTAAGGAAGCACCAGAGAGAGACAACTGTTTAAGAACATCACACCATCTGCTCTACTGAACCTGTCTATTGCGTATGTGCCACTTTGGAACTTGTGTTTTTTTTCCCTTTAAATAAAACATATGTTTAAAAATGAATATTTGGTAAAACATACATGTACAGATCTGCTCTTGTGAGTCTATATGTGTGTGTGGTCTTCCTTGGCCAGAGACCTCGAGAAACCTGTCAAGCCTGGTGTATCACAGAAAGGTGGGCAGCATTCCCAGACAGATCAGAGAATCTCTGCTCTATGCAATGTACTTATCCACACACTAACAGTATATTTGAAATAATTAATCTTTAATAATAATTTACTGTATTTATTAGATTTTTTTCACCCATAGACCTAAAACTGCCCAAACAAAAGGAGAAACATTCTCATCTTTCTCTGTGGTTATGTCCACACATAAACACACATGCAGATTTGCACCCGGTGCTGCCACTTCAAGTCAGTGTCTCTGGCTGAATCAGTGAAGGTCTCGACCTTTAGAAATGCCAATTCTTCAGACACATCCCGTAAACTCCACATCTCCTTCCAACTCTGGCTGAGCTCTGACTCCTCACCCTGACAGCCCACCTGCTCACCCTGAAGACGGCGCCAATCAGCCTCGAATGTGTCCAAGAAATGAACAGCTCCTCGGTGCGAGGAGCAGGACAAGCCCAAACAGACATGGCACGCCACACATGCATGTTTTTCCTTCATGAAGCTCTAAAGCTCCCACTCAAAATATTTTCAACTGACAAATCCTCCCTGATGGGAAGAGAAACATCTACAGTTTGAAAAAAAAAGTATAGCTTAAAAATATTGATTTATTTAATGCCTCTAACCTTATGAAAAGCTTCATCCTGATATTGAGGACATTTATTTTATACTAGTTGTCTTTTTTCAGATGAACTATTTTAAGTTTTTTTTTTATTTTAAGTAAAATATATATTCATATTTTTAATTCTTAGTTTTTCAAAAAACRTTTATATTTATAAGGTTCTACTAATCTTATATAGTTGGGAAGTATTTAAATAAGCACAAAGCTTGGGACTCAAGAGGTTAAAACTGGTGGGGCACAGCCCCCCCGTGGCCACCCCCACTTGTTGTGCCCCTGGTGACTGACAGGTGATGTTCCACAGTGAAATGACAAGCTGGAGCACTGCACATCTCTGTTAGATCTAGCTGGAAGACTTTTCAAATTTGTCTTCTGAGGTAAACAGCTGATTTGTTATCAGGCTGAGCTTTATGGGAGAAGTTTTCTGTTTGAAGCCGCTCGGCCCTGTTAGAGCTGCTGCACTGTGCATCTCTCTGCTGGATGCCAGAGACAAGAGATTTAATTTATGCAGCACTCATAGGGACAAGGCATTTCTTATTTTGTGAATTTTTAGTTTTTAATAAGCGCCACTGTTTGTTTTAGTAGCCCGCCCAGGGTTATTGGGACTAATTTTTCTGATCTCCACTCTTCATCATCAGCTCAGGTGGCGCCCTGCAGCGCAAATCAGCTGTGCGGTATGATCGGCCCAACCGGTGGTGAGGAGAGGTAGAGAAGTCATTTGATATGGCATAATTTAGAGCACAATGAATCCAGAAAAACATCAAAGCCCCAGAAACTGTCGCCCCTTGATGTCGCGCTCGCCCTGCGCAGATGAATCGCGCGCATCAGACTGGTGGTTCACTCCAGCCTGTGGGCCGGTTCACGGACTGAACCACCGGCTCTCTGACCTGCGTCTGGGCCAGTGGTGCAGCTCGTGGGCCGGTGGTTCAGGGGCTGAAGTGAACCACCGCGCGTAGACGACGGGCGGGGGACCGGTGGTTCAGCTTGTGGCCCGGTACCAGGTTCGGCTCTGTTGCGCTCTGCTGCTCTGTCTTGTTGTCTTCTCTGTTATTCATGTAGCAACACGTTCCTGAAGTTCTGTGCAAGGCTGAGGGAGCTTTCAACTTCTGGCTGATTCGCTCGAATTAAAAGAAATAATCCTGTGTCCGCATCGTGATCCGGAACCTCACCAAAATTTAATGGTGTGTTATGTGTGCTAATATGAACAAGTATTGTAAATATCATGACAATCCGTCCACACGTTTTTGAGTTATGCTGTCCACAGACAGACAGACCGACAGACAGACAGAGTGACACCATTTTGAGCAATTCTCAAAGCATCTGATCAGTGCTACACTGTTGCAGGCAGACAGGTTCCTGCAGGACCACAGCCAGTTCTCCAGTTCACCACCACAGAGAATTACCCAATACTGAACAGCAGCACCAAGAAGTCTGATCTAGTTCAGGAGCTGCAGTGGTGCTGTGGCTCTGTACCAGTTCTTCATGAGGAACAATCTGCAGGACACCTTCTCAGAGACTTTGCTGAAAATTCTCATCACATCTCCTCTGACCACAGTTAAATCAACAATGAAGAGAATCAAGACTTTCCTCAGGCACACAACATCACATTTCCCTGAACTGACCATGCTCTCTAAAGAAGAATCTTGTTAAAACATCCCTGACTTTAACCAGAGTCACTGAGAAATTTGCTTCTCAGTTACAGAAGGGCAGAATTAATGTAATGTGTGCTACAACTTAGTACAGGTTTGCTTGCTTTTTGAGATATGTCTATTTTTGAATTGTAGTCCCCCTGCAGAAAAATCCAACAGCCGCCATTGATAAAGGGAATAGTCTTCCTTTGACTGCTCAGAGCCAGTCAGTGGCCTGAATAGTGCAAAGAAGTCTCTAGAGCAGGGATAGTCAATTACGGTCCTCGAGGTCCACAGCCCTGCACGCTTTACTTATTTCTCTTCTCTGGCACGCCTGATTTGAATGAATGGATGATTTTCAGGCTTCTGCAGAACTTGGAAGAGGTAATTCATTGACTGAATCAGATGTGTTAGAGAAGGGAAAAAAGTAAAACATGCAGGTCTGTGGACCTCGAGGACCAGAATTGATTATACCTGCTCTAGAGGTTCTACCAGTGTTATGGAGAGACATTAGCCTGGTAAAAACCAGACCCTTATCCTTCACTTTGCTTCGTACGAGGGTGTAGACTCTCAGCGATAGAGAAGCGATTCTTGCTGGAGGCGTGGCCTCTGCTGAAGTTTAAAATGACTGGATCAGCTGGCTGCAACATATGTGTATGCCAGCTCCACTGTGAAGGAGGCTAAGCTAAGAAGCTAACCTGAAATCGCGTACGCTGTAAACAACCCTACTGAGAGAAGAGAAGTACKGAGCCAAATGAGACGACTGTAAATGAGACCTGCAGGCTTTGCCAGACAAATTTAATTTAATTTGAAAGCCTTATCAACATGGACTGGCTTCCTCCACTGTCATATCTAAACTAACTAGCAGACACTGTGCAGAAAATTGACGTCGTTCAAAACTACACCTTCTGTTTCCTGATTGGCCCAGGTAAAATAAACTACAAGCAGACACTGTGCAGAAAATCAACAAAGTTCAAAACTCCGCCTTCTGTTTGTTGATTGGCCCAGGTAAAATAAACTACAAGCAGACACTGTGCAGAAAATCAATGTTCTGTTCTGATTGGCCCGGAAGAAAATTCTCCCGAAGAAATCCTTGTCTATGGGAGAAATCCCAGACGGAGCAGTAAAGGGAAACTAGAATTGAGCGGAACTGCATAGGAGGCAAGGGTCAGGCTAGAGAGACACGTGTTACTCCAAACATCATGGWGTGAGGAGCCACTTCAAGTGGGTAATAGTGATTCAAGGGATCCTGACTTTAAGTATCTACACCCACACCCCATTGACACAGACCAGCAGAGTGTCCAAACTGCCAACTCCATTACCCATTAGATATGATYTTGCAATCATTGCAAAARAGGTGCATGYCAAAGTTTAACCACATTTCTACATTTTCAGAATGCAGCCAACAACAACGAGATGTTCCTGGCTCATCTCGTACACACCAGAGTGAGTCGTGGACTGTAGGTGGACAGCATGTGAGAGCTGCCGAGGCTGAGATTAACGCAGTCACACTCCACTCTGAGAGGATAAGARGAGCTTACAGCAGCACCAACCCACCGTGTTGCCATGTAGATACAGTGTGAGACAGTGCCAGTGATGCTTTTCTTTCAAATCCCACCAGAGCAGGAGCACATTCTGTTGTGTTCACACATGGCTTGGCAAGGCAGAACAATGCTACTTTTTGCAGTGCAGAAAGTTGGTCTGATTGTGGTCTGCTTGAATGTGGAAACAGTCCTAAATGTATTCAACCTCACAAATGTCTTGATGGAAAAGTATTAGGTACTTACTTGGTATGTACCCAGTAAATACAGGGTAAAACAGCACTTCTCATTACAGCCTGATTCTCATAAGTATCTAATACTTACCTGGTACTTCTTGGGTATGCAACTGGTATTTATTTGGTACGTATGTATATGGTTTTGCATGTACTCAATAGTTTTAGGTAGGGATGCACCGATATGAAAATTTCAGCCGATATCAATATAATTATTGCTGTTATGGCCGATAACCAATATTTACCGAGATTACACAAGCACACAAATTATATTGTACATATACGCACAAATCCATCCATCCARTCATCCATTTTCTGTACACATTTTTTCCTTTCAGGGTCACGTGGGTCGCTGGTGCCCATATCCAGCAGTCACAGTGCGAGAGGCGGGGTACACCCTGGACAGGTTGCAAGTCCATCACAGGGCCACACATAGAGACAAACGAGACAAACAACCATTCACTCTCTCACTCACTCTCACCTCACAATTTAGAGTTATCAATTAACCTAACAGTCATGTTCTTGGTGTGTGGGAGGAAGCTGGAGTACCCGGAGAGAACCCACGCATGCAAATATGCAAACACTACCCAGAAAGGTCCCCGGGCCGGGATTTGAACTGGCAACCTTCTTGCTGAGAGGCATCAGCTCTACCAACTGAGTCACCGTGCCGCCCAAACACACTTGGGTCTTTTTCTGATACTGTAAATAAATGACCAGACCTCTGACATTGCTCCCTACTTCAGTTATTCCTGGCTGTGCAGCATCAGTATCACTATCATGATCAAACGTACTGTATGCCACTTAACCTACCATATCCTCTCCCAAAACAGAAATACAAAGCTAAAAAGTGAGAAATCAATATCAGACATTAATATCGGCCCAGTTTTTTGTATAGGACCAATACCAACATTCTAAAAAATGACCAATATAGGCCGATACTGATATTAATGCAGATATATCATGCATCCCTAGTTTTAGGGTTACTAAAACTATGGTATATGTAGCAAGTAAATACCGGGCAGGTACACATGAGTACCAAGAATGTGCCTGTAAGTACRTGGTACATACCCACACGCAATATGTACCATATGTATGTACAATATGTGGTGTTGTCTTTGACAGCAGTTTGAAACTGGATAAGCAAGTGAATTCAGTTGTCGAATCAGGCTTTTTCTATTTACGCCTTTTAGCCAAGGTGAAGTCCTATTTTTGTTTCAGAGATTTTGAGAAAATTATTCATGCTTTCATCACAACACATTTGGATTAATGTAATTTGTTGTACAAGGGCATAGATCAGTCTTCCCTGCATCGTCTCCAAATGATTCAAAATGCTGCAGCCCGACTTTTAACTGGTACACAGAAATATGAGCATATAACACCTGTGCTGGCTTCATTACACTGGTTACCTGTATCTCACAGAATTGATTTTAAGATTTTATTGTTAGTTTTTAACATTTGAATGGCCTTGCTCCAACCTATCTACAAGATCTCTTGCATGTTCACTCTTCATCCAGAACATTGAGGTCAAACAACCAGATGCTTCTAGATGTTCCAAGATCCAGACTTAGGAGCAGAGGTGATCATGCTTTTGCTGTATTTGCTCCCAAATCTATGGAACAACTTGCCCATTCACATTAGATCAGCTCATAGCTTGGAAAACTTCAAAGTGCTTCTTAAGGCTCACTTTTATTCTAAGGCATTTAATAAATACAAGACCTGGCATTGTAATTTTTTTCTGTTCTGACTATTGTGCGTTGTAATTTATTATGTATTTTAGCAATTTCTGTGTTGTTTGTAGATCGCTGCGCAGCACTTTGGTGCAGCTATTGGCTGTTTTTAAAGTGCTTTATAAATAAWTAAAGTTTGACATTGACATTGATGTACCTGATTACAGGATAACAAGTCACTTCATAATACAACCTGACCCCTGTACATATCAGATACTGGTACTTACCTGTTACATACATTGTAAGTACAAAATATGTACCATTACTAAAGTATGTACCAGATATGTCTTTTGCTGTATAATGTATTGCCACTAAAAAGTAATACTTATTTATGTTACTACTTATGTAGCTGTTTAAAAAAGGTAGTGTTCCATCTAGTCYTGCATTACATGACATGCAATGTGGTTATTTTGGTAAAATTTAAATATTACTATGTGTATGACATGTATTTTTCTGTTTTTGTAGATGAAACAAAATATTTTTCATCCATCCATCCATCCATCCATCCATCCATCCATCCATCCATCCATCCATCCATCCATCCATCCATCCATCCATCCATCCATCCATCNTCCATCCATCCATCCATCCATCCATCCATCCAGTGTGTTGATCTCTTTCTGCAAAATCCCATTTTTTCCCTTGGGTTTATGAACTGATTGAGGATTTTTGAAATGTCACTTTGAGTGTTTAGGAAAATAAACCATAAATTAAAAAAAGGAGCTTATTTACGTTTCGGTGTGCATGAGGTTTAAAACACAATTTTGTTTTCGTGTGACTAAAATCTACACTATGACAACATTGTTAGGGTTTACTAACTGATAAATAAATGCAAACATTGATAGAAACATGATTTTTTGAGAGTGTGATGGTGTGTTGATTCCACAGAGAACATAAAGCTGTTCTTTTTCTGCAACTCAGCTGTTGTGTAAAGTCATATCTCCTCTTTTTATAGATAAAATTTGTGAGTTTGTCTTCACAGTTTCTGCTGAGAACAAGCGTCTCATTYAAGCAGAGACCCTGTCTGCTCCCACAGCTGATCAGGCACTTGGATCATAGAGGAGGGTACAGTCAGACACTGGAATCTGTTGATTCAACCACATCTTGGCAGAGAGTCAGCTGAGAGAGTTGGAGGTCTCTGAATGTACCTCCGTTTCACCCACACAGTAGAGTCGACACGCTCTCATCCTCATCCTCTTATTTCTCACTCGTCTATCTTTAAAAGAGTTTCTCCACTTGGATGGATTTACGACTGACTTCTGTTCTCGCTAAACCCAACCAACTCAGACAAACCCAAAGAGACAACCCGCTCATAAAAGCACTTCATCCTGGGACGAGAACACACACCAACAAAAGCCAACCAGCACAAATTCTAAATACTCATACAGTGGCTTTGAACATAAAGAAAAGCGAATTAGAGGCTGTTGCTAAGCTTTCTATTCCTTCTTGAGTGGAGACAGGTTGCGCTTTCTGACAGCAGGTTATCGTGAAAACGAGCCAGCTGTTTAACAGTCTTTGCAAGAAAACTAACTCACATTGGCAGCCAGCTGAGACGTGAGGGTTGCCACCTTCTCCTGAGAGGCATCCAGTTCCCGGCGAAGCTTTCTGATTTGCTGGTGAGGAAGGAAAGAGCAGAGGTAAATGACTATTGTGTTAAAATATGCTAAACTTGTAACTCAAATGCTGATAGTTTAAAAGAAAAACTGTGCAGTTACAGGGTAAATTTTGTAAATAAATAAATAAATAAAACAGTGGATTAAAATACAAAAATGAAGTGTGGGGATTACCGTAGAATTTTGGACTGTTTGGCCCTTGATTGAAAAGAAAAGAGTCAAAATTAACACTATGTTGCATGCTTCCATCAAACAGCATGAACTGATGAATAGAGGTCCAACAAAGAGGGTTGGACTTTGAGCAGTAGAGCAAGAGATAGGCGAGTATTTCAACCCCAGCTCAATCATATTTGCAAATACCCAAGGTGGTTTCTTTTGTAATCAGTGAAGTGCCAGATGTGCAGCCAGTGAAATTCACCATGTTGTTGCAATTTTGCCAGTTACTTTAACTTTTGTGGTCCAGTTGTACTTTTAATTTTCTGTATTATTTTTGTTAACAATTAGTTGTACACGTAGTCCTTTGCAGTGTTTATAAGAGGACATGCTAAAACACTGTTTCTATGCAGGGAATATCAAGTCAGCAGTAGCAWTGGGACAAAGAACATGACTTTTTTTGTCGTCCTTCATAGAAGATGACCAGTGACTTATTTTGGTCAAAGGTTTTCTATTGCTATTGTGTCAGTGTGGGCATAACTCCGACAATGGTTTTACAGCACCTGGTATTCCCAAGTGGTCTCCCATCCTATTATTAAGCAGGCCCAACCCTTCTAAGCATCAGACAAGATACAGCATGTTCAGGGTGGTATGGTTTTGTGTTTTGTCAAAGTTAAACAAAAATGTTGAAGTTAATGCCCATAATGCTCATGTGGCCCTCAGTGAAAATGAGTTTAAACTATTAATCTGTTTTAACTCCAAGGCATTTGATGTACTATTTTACAAGATTATGGATTTTATTATGGATTAAATATTTGATATGAGTCACGTTGCTCACAATCTGCTACAAAACTCCACCCATCTGACTGGGGTATTGGCTGTTACTGTTTGAGCCAAACTTGACCTTAAAACACATAAACAGAAAGAAAAAAAACTTTATGGAAGAAAACAAAAACTTAAGACATAAACTTGGAAATCAGACAGACAAATCAAGCAGCATTATTAAACAATGCCAGATAGAAAGTGCCAMAGAGCAAGAGAGCACAATGTGTAGATTGTGTTTTTAATGGATAAAAAAGCAAGACATGTCTGTTATTATGAATATAGTGAAATTACTGCATGATTATGAAAAGCAATGCAACATAGAGTTAAACTGTTTTGTTGCCAAACTTAATGTAACTTAACCCTTCAGCTGTTATGTGTTCAGTTTATTTTTGTCGTTCCAAGTCAGAGAATAAATGTCACTGTCTATGATGTGATTCACATACAGAAATAACATCTACTGAAGCTGTGCAAAACAACACATGCAAATTTAAAACATCCAAACACAAAAAGGCAATCGAAATATAAAACAGCAGAACATGCCTGCAACACAGTGGGCCGAACTTTAAAATAAACCTGGATTCAGCTAGTGAAGCAAAGCTAGCCTAAGATGAGACAGGCAAAGCTAAATTAGCTAAACTAAGCTAAGTCAAACCCAGATTTTATGGAAGCAGCTAAGTTAAAATAGGCTAAGAAAAAAACAGAGGTGCTAATGGTGTGTTCCAATACTCAGAAGTTTCAAGTTAAAAAAATAATCAACTATAACATCAGTCTAAGTTAGAAWTGACTGGGGATGTTTGAGATTACTAACATCAAAATCCAACATGGCAGACTTGCTCTTAAAGGTTAAAAAATGTAACCAGTTTTGTAAAATAATTAGTCCGTCTCAGATCTGAATTTCAACTTTTGAGAAAAATTGAACACAGCACACGTCTCTCTTATGAAGAGCTACTGTACATGGTATAAATAATTTGAGTTGGTGTTCATATATGTACAGCAGAGGAGCGATTAAAGGAAGCAAGTGTTACTCATACTTACCTCTGAATGTGCTTTTTCCTCTGTCTGTAAGAGAGAACCAAACTTCATTTAGAAATATTTGGCTACTGGGTTTGAGAGGTGTTTCAACYTACAAATTATGCAATAGAGTCAGTAGAATGGGAACTCTGTAAGAATTGGTTTATGTTACAAACAAAATTAATTAGCTAACGCAACCAGGAAAAAAAGTCAACAAAACTATCTACAGCATTCACACTAGCTTTTGCATCTTTTAAATAATTTCAGACCAAAGAAAATATTCTGGTTCTACTTTATAAAATTAATCTGTCATCTCATTCAATACGAAGACTAGAAAACAGCAAACAACATTAGAGGCCCAACAGTGTTAAAGTCTTATCTATTGATGCTACTCTGGGGAATGTATCCGTATAAAAGTAACTATTTTTCTTTTATTGAAAGAGACAAAAAACAAAACCATAAAGACAGAGTTAATTATTAGCTTTAGTTTTCTTTTTGCCAATTCTAAAGCAATTTGATTGATCTTAAAGGAGACATATCATTCTTTTAAAACCTTCTCTTTTTACATTTAAATCCTTCAGTTGGGGTCTATATAAAGTGGAACTGCAATGTTTTGGACTGAATTCCTACTTAATTGTAACTCCACAAGCCCCCCTTTAACACATTTTCTGAGTGCGTCTCAGATCACTTTGTTTTGAAGCTGTCTCTTTAAAGGCACAGTGTGTAGGATTTTGTCAAGTCTTTTAGCCAAAACTGAGATAACCACTAATGACAATAATAAAAAAAACAACCACATCTAATCATTGCAGASAAAGACCTTGTTTTATTATTTTTACCTTTTAAAAAGCTGTTTATATCTCCATGGTCGCGGGTCGCCACACAGGCAGCCACCATCTTGCACCGCCATCTTGTCTACGAAAGCTCATGAAGYACAAACTGCGGTGGCGGCATCAAAAACGGTTTTAGTTGTAATACTATAAATGTAATATTTGTTGTCTGTCGTAGTTGGGATAATATTTCTTATTAAAGCTCATAATCTTACCACTTGAAACATCACTAGCCCTGAAGCTGCTGGTAGACATCGCGGTTGGAATTATCAAAGGTTTTTGACACCTGAGAGACACCGTAGCAACTACTTTGCATTTGGAAGCAGGGGGTGGGGGTAGGGGGAGGACCAGGGAGGATGATTCAACCACTCAACCACTAGATGTCGCCGAAAACAACAAATCCTACACACTGTYCCTTTAAATCCAAACAGTCGCTTCACACCCTGCCCCTGATTGATAAAATGTCCTTTTCTTACATATTTTTATATACTTGAAATTTATCAGTTTTTATCATCAACCCAGAGATTTTTGTTGAAGTATTTCTGATTCTAAATCCATAATACTGAGTGACTTACTGCTGAGTACAATGATGAAGTGCTGGAGACCAAAGACAAAGAAGAGCCATGGACTGTGAGACAAAGACAGAGAGGAATATTATCTGAAAGCAAAATATTGGTTCAGTCTTACAAAAAAAAAACAAAAGAAAACTTTTAGTCATTATTAGCCTTATTGAAATCTATCTAGATGAACATCTGCTAAAGGAAATATGTCTTACCTTCATCAGTGCTGTCTCTGAAAGACCCGGAGCGGCTGATGGCTCGCGGTCGGTCCTCCAGGGAGGTTGCGCTGCCTCCCAGTGGGTGACCCTCTCCGTACAGGTCAAAGGAGTCCTGAGCGGGAATGCTGTTGGAGCGGCTCATGCTGCTGCCTGGTGGCAGGTTATACTGAGTGATATTGGTTGGACTCACTGTGCAGAAAAAGACATGCTTAATATAGAAATATGTGCAAGTACTTCTTTATATAGAAATTATATTTTAATTTAAATATTATTTCAATTATTTCACATCAAAATAATGAGAAAACTTAAAATKTTTCAAACTTTGTATTCTCTACAAATACTTCTAAGAAGAAAAAAAAAATTGAACTTGAAATGAGACAGGCCTTTAGGTAATAAATAAGTCAAAATCCCCCCGAAAGTTCCCCTACTTCTGAATAGGGATTGGAGATTGTAGCTACAGTGGCTTTGAGCTAGCATTAGTAACCCCCCACCCCCCATCCACCCATTCTGTCCAACAAGACCAATAATGTTGGGGAAATATTGTACACCAAAGTTGAGTAGTCATTTAAGAACCCAAGGGAGTGGCTGGGAAAAGGTGTCTTGCTCATAGACATCACAACATATAGACGTGACAGGGTACCGAATCTGTGACTATCCAGTCCCAACATGGGTGCCCTAGCTGCTCCATCAATGGGTACAAACACTTACAATCACAAAAGTTACAAAAATTAGTCAAGTCTTCAAGACTTACATAGGTTGGAGTAGTGATATTTTCCAGTGGTATTACAGGAAGCTCCTGGTGGAGAGAGTGGGGARTGGCTGCCAGTGTCCTGAAGGCCTCCTGTGGAATGGGATCTTAGCCACTCCTTCCCTTCTTCGTGGGACGTTTGCCGGGAGGACGGCGGGTACCTAAAGCCGCAAAAAGGCAGATTTTTAACAGCTCAGATAGCAAAGATCTGTGGTAATTTAGGTTTAACAGTAGGTGCATGCAAGCAGATGGTGAAGAAACGTGCAGTTATACCACTCAGATGTTCTCATGCAATTATTTATACAATAACATGCACAGCTCAACAAGGTTTGCATGGTTAGTTGCATGCCCTTTGGAGATTGGTTCACCCTTTTACTCATTTGATTATCAATACAAAGAAGGATGTTGAAAAAGTTCCCTAAACTTTTTTTAAGCATTCTATGTGTGTGTACACGAGCGCGAGCGTGCGCACGCACGCACGCACGCACGAACGCACGCACGCACGCACACACACACACACACATCCACAGAACCATAGAGCCATTTATCTCCACCCCAACACCCCACCTCAAACTCTCAAGCAACTCTGCAGAAAGCCTTATCACACGCATGACAATCGGCCATATTTAATCCTCTGAGGATGATAATTGAGTTTGCACTCGTCCCTTTTCAGCAGTATCCCACTGCCAATGCCTCCATTACCACGCTTGTCACATCTGACCCTGCTCTCATTATCCGCCAGTGCTTCTTATTCTATTCTGCCAGCAAACGAGTGTCAAAGAATGCAATCAATGGTGTGACACAGCAGTGTTTGTCCGTCAGTGAAGCTGTAATAAAACAGGCTGCAGTATCCAAGATGTTTGACTCAGTCTACTTAAAGCTAACAAAATACACATTTACAAAACCAACCGGCTTATTTACAGTATGTGATTAATGATGGACGCTCTTAATCTGAGCTTTTTCTTGAAGGGAAATTAAAGGTTTAGGAAAAATTTGACCAGATGACCAAAGGCATGTGCTGTTTGTGCTGAGCAACACATTAGGCAGGGTAACAGACTGGAAATCATGGGACACCAAACAGCTGAATGGTTAGAACCAGCATGTTCAACAGTTCAATGGTATCACCGTAAAACTCAATGGTTGGGTTGTTTTGTAGAATAAGTTTTGCCACTTTTATTGCATATTTCTGTCTTTTTCTTCCAGACAAATATAAAATATCTGTTCCTGACATATACCCATAAAGCCCCAAAACACTGATTAATGACCACGATGTGCCACAATGGTCTACAAGTTGGTCTTGGAAGGTCTTTAGATGCATATTAAGAATGAAAGGGGCTCCCCATTTTTCATGACAGGTTATGGTACGTTATATAGAGTTTTGAGCATAAACAAAATGCCTGTAGTAAGTTCTGGTGGTTTATTATTGGGGTGGCATCATAACCAGGTCCACGGTAGAGCATGGTGGGAGTAGTGGCGCTATATTATTGATATGGTTTCCCCACACAACTTGATCACCAAGAATTCAAAAGCAGGACTAATTGATGTGGATTAAACACTGAGTGACAGGTCTTCAAAGACATCCTTGTTGGGTGTAACAGAACTTTTGTGTGGCATGTGTATTGCCCTTCCATTCAGACAAGCTGAGACTGCTGATGGCTTTAACATTTCTTCTGATAAGCCTAATGTAGTGGCTTAAGCCGGGTTCCCACCAAACACGTTTTGTGCAGCAAAAATGCCCCAACTCCTCCAGTTGGATGCACTGCTCAGACTGGGGACAGACTAGAGGCGCGTCTGAAGAGGGAGAAGTGTCTTAGCTTTTTCCATCTGTCTTTAATGATGGGTGAAATAAAGATAAAATAAAGAAAATGGATTTGTTTTATTTACTAAAGAGGAATTGAACGTTGCGCACAGCAGATAATTAATTCACCAAATAATTTAGAGGCGGTTTGTTCGGTTAGTTTCGCCACTCCAGGAGCTGCGAGTTGACAGACTTTTTTTTTGTCCCGAGCTCAGCGAGCTGCTGTCTCATCACATAGGTGCTGATATCTCCAGCCAGAACACCAACTGTAGACAGTTGCCTTCAGCTAAAGAGCCATAAAAAAAGTCCGTCTGTCGGTTTTCAGGAAAACGCCACGTGGAAAAATTATTCTCTCTGATTGGTTGCGGCTGCACTCTATCGAGCAGCCAAAGTTCAATTTGTTGAACTCGAGCAGCCGCTGCTTTGGACGCGCTCCATGCACAGAAAATGCTCTGACGCATCTTACCGCTACCTTGCGCGCTGATCTAAACTGGCAAAACGTGCCGCAACYTGCTGCACTGCTCCTAGATGCGCGTCCACCATAGACTTTGCATGTAAATTGGCTGCTTTTGGCTGCTCAAAACGCGTTTGGTAGGAACCCAGCTTAACAAATTGCGGACCTGTCTGAACGAGAGAAGTGCTATGCAAGTATGCAATGATTTTTTTATGGTTTCATCCTCATGGTCACATCATAACATTACTTTAGGAAATAATACTTTGGAAAACTAGGTTCCAGAATGAAGAAAGTCTTAAATGTCACTGTTAAGTTCTTGTGGTGACAACCTAAATGCAATCGGTAGAAAACAATGTCATGGACCCATTTTATATCTAGTTCAAAACCTCAACAATGTCAGATCTCATGGAGAACAAWCTTCTCTTTGTACTTGGTCAAAAAAACAACACTAACGTGTCTCTATAAAATCCATAAGCTTTTGCAGAAACCATAGTTGACCCCCCCKAAAAAAATACCCTAACTTAACCAAATCTCAGGTAATGTAGGTTACAGGTATTCTACTAAAATGGCAGAATTCTGATACGACCGGTTTACAGTCTAATGGTAATTATGTATTATTTCAATGAGCAGCTTCATGTCTTCTTTTTCTGTTTCTGGTGGMTTTTTTTAATGTGGAAGCAACAGCTGGCTTAGCATAGCTACAACAGCGTTCAGGTTGTTTTCTGTGTTTCCGTGTGGATGAAGACACTTCCAGGAATATTGTTGTGTTTATGAGGTAAAAGATTGTTTTGGAAAGGCAGCATTCCAGTGTGAATAGTGCCTTAGGTTAAGACATTCTGCTGTTTGAAATGGCCTCATCCCTGGGATTTTCTGCTTAACAATTCTTTTTGCAGTAAAACCAAAAATAACAAGCTGCATTTTTCCTATCTTTCTTATCTTTTCTATCAAAACATTGACCAGTCTGGCCTCATGCCTATGGCTACAACCATGATCGTGATAAGGTTATGGAAACAAAGTAGCACAGATGATAGCTGCAATACGGTATTTGATATGTATAAACAACATTAGCAGAGTCACAATTGTCTTCATACTAAAAGACTTTCCAAATTTGTGGCAATCCAGTTTTAATATATCATGTAGGTATTAGAGACGGGCATGGTCACTGTCCAGTGTGGAAGCACATAAGTTGGTGAAGGAGGATCTGCAGGAGCTAATACAGACTGATCATGCATTTTTAATTATGCATAAAATGAAAAAAGTTAGAATATTAGTGAAGAGAGGGAAAAAAACATGCAGGTCTTGGAAAACATGAGCATCTGCAACAGTATTAATTCAATTTTAGTTTAATTTTCTCTAATGAAGGGAGACTGCATTTACCTCTGACTAATTATTTCAGTTTTTTCTAATTTTTATAGATTTTTTTTTAATGTTTATTAATCAAACAGTTCCATTTTGTCAACTATATGGATTGACATATTAATTGTTAGTGTTCCTTGGGCCACGTTAAAGTTTCAACAGTACAGGGACTTTAGGGGACACCTACTGTAGTTGGGAATCACTGTTATGGACTGTATGATGTCCAAAATGAAAACTATGCTTGACATTTGAGTGATTACTTTCATGCAAATACGTAAGTCATGATTTATGCAAGCAAACAAAGACAAACAGGCAAAACTGGGATCGTTTTTACAAACGCGGTGTACCTCAGTCCCTTTTTGGGAAGTGTGTTTCTGTCGTGGGGCATGCTGTTAAAATAGAGGACGAGGCAATTAGATGAACACAAACACCTGCCTTTTGTGATACACACACACACACACACACACACACATACACACACAAAGAAAAACTCATTACATCTCATAAATAACTACATAAACACAAAACAAAACGGAAAACTCAGTACACCTAAGGCTGATTATTTCATTTTCGAGACAAAGTAAAACTTTTGAGGTATAATCTGTGATGTACTGCATGCAGTGTGTAGACAAACAATGAAAGACATCAGTACAGACTTCTCATGGTAACGTATGTGTTTGAAATGATCTGATTTTACTTTATTTCTGCCATTGTTTTAAATCAACTTGTGACTACTTGCTACTATTTTTATTGTATTTTACAACCACACTGATGTCAASTGAATAAAATCTGTTTCTTGAATGCATGTTGCTTATTATCACTACATTATATTTGTCTGATCCCTTTAGGTTTGTGTAGATTTAGCTTAAGAAATGATAAACTTTTTGTCTCAGTTGTCAAATGAAACAATGACTATGACTCTTCCCAATCTTATTCCCTCTTACTCACCCCTCAGACAGGGTGGATTTGATACTGCCGGTTCGTGTGACCTTGGGCCCATGGTGGGCAAGCGGCATATCAATGGACTCAGAGCTGGTGTGCAGACTGGTCATACTTTGGCAGCTCAGGGTGTCCTTGCTGCCGGCTGATGAGCTACAGGCAGGCCAGGGGCGAGCGTTGGAGGGCAGGGAGAGGCCAGAAGCGGGACTGGAAGCCAGTGAGTCAGTGCACAGGTCAGGGGTTTTACCGTAGAGCGGGCTGCTGCCCCCGCTCAGGCCGCCAGCGCTGCCCAGGCTCCCTGTGCCAGAGGAGGGGGAGTCCAGGCTGGCCTGCCTCGCCAACGTGCCGTGGGGGCTGCTCAGTATTGACGGGCACTTGCCAGAGTCGGGCGTGCCCGGAGAGCTGGCCTTGCTGCTAGCTTTGGTGCCAAACAATCTGAGGGGGTAGAGAGGTGGGTGCGATCATTTAGAAATGCTCAAAACACAAGTGACGAGCATCAGCAAGCTCCACACTGGAAAAATCAAGGACCTTTGGAAATATTAGGTTTAGAAAGAGAATTATATCAAAATAAAAATACAGTTTTATTTCTAATCACTTTTTTAATTTAAATTCAGATTAATTTTTCGCACTGTTTAATTTTATAGAAACACTGTGAGAGGAAAAAAAGTTAACTATAGTAGAATAATTTCACTCACTGTCTAATTTCTGTAATGTATCTTAAACAATATTTGACCATTTTGAATTGTACCTAATCGTCCCTAAACATTTAAAAGTATTCTTGTTGTAGCTCTTCTAAAATGTTTGACCCTGACTGGATTGATGAGCTAAAGGTTAACATGAAGGCCAAGACCAAAGTGACATATTGTTGTCTTAAAACAACTAGATAAAAAAATCCTAGTGGTTTGAGTGACCCTTAGTGTTGCATTTTATGATTATCTCAGCAGCAGTATTACAAAATTCATGACAGAAATGCTAACTAGCTTCTGCCTCTATTATTTTTGTTTGCAAATAATAGACAATCTTGTAAATATTGGTTTTTTTTAGAAAAGGACCAAGGTGTGAAAATTTACAAAATAACATTTTCACGAACTACAATACAAATTCTCTGATTAGAGCCATAAAAAGTCAGAAGCAATACACGTTGGTCTTGGTTTTGTTCAAGCGAGCAGTTAGCTTGTCAGTCCTGTTGGACGTAAACTTTGTCCTTCAAGGAGCTATGTAGCCAGGATTTCCTTTTGATGTTTAAAACACAATTTTAATAACCCTTAGAGAATTTTAACAAGACAACAACTACTGCATGAACTGATGATCAAAATAAACAATTCATAGTATTTTTTAAAACAATTCATGGTATTTTTTAAAACATGAATATGTTTAGTCATCTATAGCTTTTTACTTTATTTGCCTGTATTTAAATAAAGGGTCCAAATCTATGTTGCCCTGTTCCGATGTTCCCTGATACCTTTCCCAGTACTTATGTTTGCCAGTACCAATGTTCCCTGATACTTAAGTGCACTGGTACCTATGTTACTTGGTACCAATGTTCCCTGGTATCTATGTGTCCTGGTACCTATGTTCCTTGGTATCTATGTTCTCTTGTGCCTTTGTTCCCTCGTATCTATGTTCTCTTGTACTTCCCTGGTATCTATGTTCCATGGTACCTATATTCCTTTGTATCTATGATCACTGGTGCCTATGTTCCCTGGTACCTATGTTAGTTGGTACAAATGTTCCCTGGTATCTATGTGTCTTGGTACCTTTGTTCCCTCGTATATATATTATCTTGTACCTGTGTTCCCTGGTATCTGTGTTTTCTTGTACCCATGTTCCCTGGTATCTATATTCCCCTGTACCTTTGCTTCTCAGTACCGATGCTCTGCAGTACCTATGTACATCTGTATCAATATTCCCCCCATGTTAATAATGAAAGGCATGAAAGATACTTGGCTCCCCATTCAAATGTCTTTCAAAGCAAATGAAAAAAAAACCCGAATTGCAGAGCAGAGATTGTAACTGTAACTTGTAATAGGATCTGGGGAACACAGAGATGACCTCTAAATATACCTAGCTTTTTACCTAGCTTTACTACACTGAAACTCATATCAAGACAGAACATCTCTTACAACAGTCCCACATTACTGTTATGTAGGCTACAGTTATTGGTTATTTTACTGTTATGCTACTTTAAAAACAGTTAAAATACATTTACACACATTCAACCTTTCCAGGTAACTCAGCCTTGTTTCATACTTGAATCTACAGTAATTACACTGACATCTATTTTGACAGCTTCAGCTGTTTCAACCATTCATTCGAACAGCTTGCTGTTTTGTTTGCCTGTCTGTTTTGTCAAGATAACAAAAAAAACCTTTTATACATACATAACTGTCACAAATTTGCTCTGACTGACTGCTGAGCTGGAACTGGCTGATTTCAGTACAAAAATAATCAAACTGTCATCATAAGACTATAGCAAAGTTTCATCTGCAGCAGTTAATCACCAACATTTGTGGAAAATCTGTGTAATGACACCCATCAGCTGTGATGTCATGCTCACTTCTGCAATCTATTTTTCTATGAGGGTGATTAAATGAGATTTATTAGGTCTTTCATTCTGAGCCCCCAAACAAATTGATACAGAAGAACATTGAATTTATGGATTCACATTGCAGCAGTCGTCTTCTCTACCTGTTACAGAAACTTGGGATAAGTCTCCATCTGCTGAGAATCACATTTATCACAGAGGTTAAACGAGGCTTCAATCCTAAAATTGACTTGCTGAAAACTTTTGATGAATCAACTGCATGCTTGTAGTGCTGGTAAAGCCAATGTCAAGTGGAGAAAAAAATTGGTGAAATTGCTGATTTACACAAAAACACATGAAATGAGGGACAAAGATGAAAGGAGAGCAGAATGTTTGTGTTCTGTGACTGACCTGCGAAACGTAGGCGAGGCGATATCTGGATATTTGGAGCCCGGCTGCCTGAGGCCTGTCTGGCTTGCTGAACTGGAGGTGGGGCTGGACTTTGGAGAGGTGGACAGTCCTGTTGCTGGGTCTTGATCGGACCCCCCAACTTTGTCTTTATCTGTCTGGTTGATGGTGATGGGACTCGAGCGTTCAGAGCCCACTTTTCCATCCCTACGTTTGGTGCCTGTTTGTGTTGCTGCTGACTTGCCGCTGACGTTTGAGTCGATGCTGCTGGAGCTGGAGCGGTGCCCGCTGCGCCCCGCTGCAGCCCCACTGGAGGATTTGGCTGGTCTGGGGAGGGAGCGGTACTGCAGGGTCACTTTAGAGCCGCTGCAGCTCAGCAGAACACCGTCATCCTGAGGCTGGGAGCCATCCAAGCTGGTCTTCCGAACGCCACTCATGCTCGTGCCTTTACCGAGTGCAGCTGAAGATTTGGGCGCCTTGCCCAGGGTGGCTGAGCCACCGGCAAGCGTCGCACCGCTGGAGGTAATTAGAGTGCCYGAGGGACCGGGGATCTTCTTGTATCCAAATGAGCCAGTGGTGGGTGGGCGAACTATGCCTGAAGGGGGTTTCTTGCCTTCATCACCGCTACTTCTCCCAGCATCTGAGGGAGACCGCTGGATGCCAGCTGAGCTCTTGGAAGGTCCTTTCCCCTTTTCTGATGCTTTAGCATCATCTGTTTTGCCTGTCGAATTGCATTAATACTCAGTAACACAAATGGAATAGTTACAATATTTATTTTAAATATATCCCTCTTAAAAACTGTTGTATCTCTTACCAGGTGTTTTGAGTACTGCAGTGGTCCCCTTGGTCCTGGGTGGTGTAATCCCCACCTGGGCTGTCATGCCTCTCCTCCACGAGCCGGTCTGGGACATCTGGGCCAACGCAGTCGCTTTCTGACCAGTGTCCTCATACTGGCCCTGAGCCTGAGAGGAAGAGGAGGATGAGGAGGGCTTCCAGCGGGAGGGGCTGCTGTTCGGATCCATGCTTACATCCAGATCTTCCTCCACTTTCTTCAGGTCCTCCGCTCCGACCCAACTGCTGCTCACTTCCTGTTCAACATGCTTGGACCTGCTTCCTTTCTGGGACTGTGAAGGATCGGTTTTAGTGGARGTTAAAGAAAGAAAGAGCACATTAAAATTAAAGGAGTACTTCAGCCATTTGTAACATTCAACAGCTATAAATAATTATCACACCAGTTTACCTGTTGTAGAATMCTTTTTCTGCGAAACAAAGTTTACAGCTAACAAGTGACAAGCTAACAAATAGTCTGAACACAGGCCGGCTGTGGTTGAGTGGATAAAGGAGTCATCCTCTATTAAGAGAGTTGGGGATTCAATTCCCTGCAATTCAGTTATATGTTGAAGTGTTCCTAAGCAAGATACTGAACCCCCCACTGCCTCTGATGTGTGTCCCATCGGTGTATGAATGTGATTTAAAGCACTGATTAGTCTCCATAGAATTTCTTTTGTACATGTTAGCTTTGTAGAGATATAACAGAGCAATGAGTATCCTGGTTGGATAGAAAGGTGCTATATAAGTACAGTACAATCTATTTACAATTTACAACTCTATTGTGAGCATACTGTTGGGGTCTTTCCAATGTTTCCTGGTACAATTCCTGCACAGTAAGTCAGTATTTTTTATTCACTCATTTTAAAAGACATTTGAAGGGGGAGCGAAGCATCTTTCACGACTTTCATTATTGACCCCGGGAGAACAGTTACTTGGAACATACAATTGTGTTCAAAATTATTCAACAGTAAAGTGCTAAACACTTTACTACAGTAAATTATGCATACTACAGTAAAGTGTTTTAGCAAGTTTGATGTTTATTTTTTATCTTGTTCACAATCAGGTCAAAGAAGGACTTTGTTAATAAACAAATGTAACTTAAATTACAATATATTTTCAAGTATACCAATAAATGTCCTTTTAATAAAAGGAAAAAAAATTGTATAGGTCCTCTGGACGGGTTCTTCTTTAATGAAACGTTTCGTCTCTCTTCCAAGAGWCTTCTTCAGTCTGAGAGTTTCAGGCAAAATTCAGGCTTTTGAGTCCTGCCTCCAGGTGACTGATACTCACATCACATGACCATCGTTCACAGGTGACTCATACTCACATCACCTGGCTATGGCTCACAGGTGACTGATACTCACATCACATGGCCATCGTTCACAGGTGACTCATGCTCACATCACATGGCTATCGTTCACCCTAATTAATACCTTTTGTTAACAGTGGGTGGAGTGATACTGCCAATGGCAGCGCTGTAGCAGGGGGACAGCTACAGCGCTGCCATTGAGCCCCATTTTGACTCATCAAAATGGGGCTCACCCTGAATGGTTAACTGAAGGGCGCACAATCCTGATCCAGAAGGATCCCTCAAAGGGTTCAGTCCCATCCAACTATAGGCCGATAACCTCTCTCTTGTAGGAGATAGACTTATGTAAAATAAGCCTCCTTACGTACTTCTCATAACTTAGTTATGAGAGAAGTTTTTACCAAGGTATTTTCTTCATTACTTTAATATTTTGACTGTGCAAAGTGGAAAGTGACACAATAAGTGAACGTTCAGACTCGTTCAAGTTGATTCATAAAAGATTATGCAATCATTTATTTACACAAATTGAACAGATCATAAGTACACCTGATTGTGAGCTATTCCTATAACAAGCATCAGAGTTAAAATGAGGAAAAAACTCACGTCCGAATTTTAATTCACATTAAACTCAGATTACTTATACTGTATAGAACAGTAAAACGTCAATTCTGATGTAACAACCAAACAATTTTACTAGCACTTTTCACTTAAGTTTGGCAAATAAAGGATAAGAAAAGGGGTGAAAATAAGGTTAGTGTTTCTGCTCTTATTTTGTTAAGATGTGTTACAACCGGATCAGCAAGTCCCCTCTGCGCTCAGAACTCCACATGACACGTTACCCCGGAACACGACAGTGTTTACCTGTTGCTGGCTTCTTTACCACACCCCGGGCAAATACTGGCTCACCTCAGACCAGTCAGGGGACGTTCGTTCGGCCCYCTTATTGCTCCTTGGCGAGAAAGTGTTATTTTAGGCAACTTTCGTCTGTTTCGAACTTCGCCAGAAAGATTCGAGCTGAAGCTTCGGGTTCGTCTTTCAAAATAAAAGTTCTCCCCTCCGGAGTTGAAAAAACACTTCGAGACTGGTAGTCTCAGTGTGGACAGGAGCGGCGTGCCACTGTCCAGGCCGTCAGGTCTTCCCTAATTGGCTTATGGGCCAGACCTAAGGCCGAGCTGGTTCTCCGAAGAGAAATCAGCTTTCTTCCCCGTTGGCATTCAGGAAGAAGTGTGTTCCGTCTCTCAAAATCATCCGTGTTAGTAATAGAGGCGGACGACTTTGGTTCCGCCCTCAGGCTTAGAATGAGTCACAGAAAGGAAAGAAGATAAAGCTTGCCAGTGGCGCCAGTCAAGGACAAATTCTGTGGTGGTTTTAACAGACATTTGATAATATCTTCTTTAGCTTTCTTTCTGATGGAACTCTAAGAGAAATCACTGTATCATTTATGATGATTAATTAACATTTCTGTTTAAATAATCAGTCTGAGCCATTTGTTGGTCCAGATAAATGAAAGATTTTCTCAAGAAAAACTCAAAATTATATTACTGATGTTTCCAGTAAAATAAAAACAGTGATTTATTTAAAAAGACAATGAAAACATGGTGATGATTTTCTCTGTGATTTTTATACCATTAATTAATCTTTTAGGCACGATAAAAGAGTAGAAGTGATTCCATCTTCTTTGTGACAGTCATTATTATGATTAASAAATGCATAAACATTCTTAGTTAAACAACAAATGAATCACYAACAGAAAAGATTGTTCTGTTCATATCTGATTAAGAGAACTCTCGAATTCTCTTCTAGGTTGAAATGACCTGTCATGGCCTAAAATAGAGTTCAGTGTTCTTGCCTCCTCGTCAGGCCTGTCCGAGACCTGCTTTGAGACAGTAAATCTTGTTTCTTCACTCAAGGTGACCCCTACACTCTACAACATGGAAGCTCATGTCAGGCATCATGGCGACTAAGATAAGCGGGCACATGGATAAATACATGAGGACGGCACAGAAGGGCATCGGCATAAATAGCAGAGGAGCCAAACACCAAKTDKTTGWYGACCACACAGTCGCCCGAGACTGCAAAACCCGACACACCAACCTGTGCACTGCTTGGATTGATTACAAGAAAGCCTATGACTCAATGCCACACACTTGGATAATTGAATGCTTAGAGAGGTACAACACCAATAGGACTCTAAGAGCCTTCATTGCAAACTCGATGGGGCTGTGGAAAACCACCCTTGAAGCCAACTGCAAACCACTTGCACAAGTGTCCATCAAATGTGGCATATACCAAGGAGATGCTCTGTCCCCACTGCTGTTCTGCATAGGCCTGAACCCTCTCAGCCAAATCATCAACAAAACTGGCTACGGATACCGACTCAAGAATGGGGCCACAATCAGTCACCTCCTCTACATGGATGACATCAAGCTGTACGCCAA